ATTTTCGTTAGGTACTTTGTCACCTCACTGTTGCAGTTTGCAGCTGCGTGTTGCCTCACGCACTCTCAGGTGTTCCTGGGAACATTTACTGCAATTACCATTTGAACACAGGGATCTGTCCAAGTCTGCATTCCTAAACTTGGTTTGATTACTTCTGTCTAATAACTAGCACATTCCTGGGAAGGCAGTAGAATCCCAGTAAATCTATTGGAATGCAAATGAATGTTTGACTACTTATTTTTAGAGGGAAATTCCCCACAGGTGAATATATCTGAATTACTGAAAACAAGGGAACAGATGAGGGCATATTGATATTTGAGATATAAAGGGAAAATGTTTAGAGTAGTAAGACGACTAGTTGTCGTAGGCTGTTTAGAATGAAAATTTGTGTCTTTGGTTATTCTTCCACCCTCCATGTTCAAATAGTAAGGTCTCTGATCCTTAAATTGTTATATTCCCTTACTATATGGCAAAATGTAATTTGCAACATCTCCTGTTTTTTCCTTTCCCTCCATGATCGATGCCTCTGATTCCCACCTCTGCTCCTTTGCTTGTGCTGTTTCCTCTGTGACCGCTAATCCATCCGAACCTGTCAGCCAACGCATCTTTTCCAGCCTGTCTCTGAAGCCATCTCCATCTTCTCTGTAAAGCTTTTGCTGTTCTCCTGCCAGGTGTTACTTTTCTGTCCTTTAAACTCCACATACTTTTATTTATATTACTTTTGGGTCCCCCTATTTTCATTTTCTGTACTCATCTCACCCCATTAGACTCAACATTTTGAGGAAAGCAGTGTCGTACTCACCTTTGTATCTGCCATAATGCTCAGTAGAAGGCCTGGCAGAGAGAGAGAGAGAGAGAGAGAGAGAGAGAGAGAGAGAGAGAGAGAGAGAGAGAGGGGGGGGGGGAAGAGAGAGGAAGGGAGGGGAGGGAGGGAGGGAGGTAGAAGAAGAAGAAGAAGAAGAAGAAGAAGAAGAAGAAGAAGAAGAAGAAGAAGAAGAAGAAGAAGAAGAAGAAGAAGAAGAAGAAGGGGGGGAGACAAAGGGGAAGAGGGAATAGGAGAGGGAGAGAGAAAGAGCAATGCTAATGTGATTACTGCCACTCTCCCTGCCCTCTCTACAATCCCCTAGAGATAGACTCCAGCACTCTCAGAAGTCATATAAAACTATTGTTTATAAAGAAAGAACTGTTCTTGAACCATTCCCCCAGCTGATCAGACTAACCAGGACTTGTACTGCCTAAGTCAGTGATTTTTCAACCTTTTTTTATCTCATGACACACATAAACTAATTACTAAGATTCTGTGGTACACCAAAATATATATTTTCCACCAATCTGACCCCAAAAAAGTTATTATTTTGATCCATTCACAACAGATGGCGATTGTTGTGTTAGCTGTTGTCATTTTTTTTGTTGTTGTTTTTTGACAGTAAGGGAAGAGAGGTCAGTGCCCCTGACCAAATAGTCAGGTATTGCATGATTTTAAAATTCTTGTGGCACACCAGTTGAAAATCACTACCCTAAGTGAAGATTATATATAGAACGAGCAATACATATAAGTGGGTAACACAAAAGGCTGGGGTTTTCTTCATGTGGAATTAAATTCTGGTTTGGAATTTTGATATTTACCATTGTGGTTAAGGCCAAACTAAGATTCTTAGATAATGTGAAGAAATGCATTAGAGAGAGGAAAAATATTATCAGATTAGTGTAAATAAAAGCTGGTGGGAGATTCTTATAGGAATGTTCTTCCATAATGTCAAGAAAATGGTCCATGGTGATATTGCTCCTGTATGTAAAATGGCTGCTGAACAAAACAACAAGTACTTTGTTTCAGAAGTAGCCAAGTAAGCAATAATTTGATTTCTAATAGTCATGGTTGCCCTGAGGACTTTTATAGTGAAATTCTAGAGGCAAATTGATTTCCCTCTTAACTTTATCAGAAAATCTTCAAATGCCTTGGACTTTCCTCCAGAATCCCAAAAAAATTCCTGCAGAAATCCTCCCAGAAAATTATTTTCTGTATTTCCTGATTTCCTGAGGCTCTTCCTGTAGCATTTGATTGTTGCTGTTGTAAATAAGGCAAGGATTATAATTAAGAAAGCTATGAATGTGATATAATAGCATAAACACAGTCATATATAACTAATTACCACATTGCCCCTTTTACTTGACTTTATATTCATGTTGAAAGCTCTTAGCTGTGCATGTATAATTGATTCATGATGGTATAAGTGGTTGTTTTAATAAAAAGTTTCAATTGAGGTTTTTGTTCCGCACTAGAACTTCTCTTATTCCACTGATCCTTTGGGAAACTCAGATGCAACTTATATCATTTATGGAACTACATCCTGTTATAGTGAGCTCTCTGCCTGTTGTAATAATGGAAGATGAGTCAGAATTTCTTTCTTCCTTCCCTTGTTTTTCCTGTGTCCTTGATTTTCCCCAGAACATAGCTTTCTATAGAATAAATTTCCCTGGGTACCATTTGTTCCATCTGATAACTTGAGTACTCAATGATTCACAGATTTTTGTAGTTGTAATATACTTTTTTAAAGATGCAATCCCATCACCACTTCTCTCGCCAGTGCTCTCTTTTTTAAAAACCAGAATAAACTTGGAGCAGTTTGAGTAACTATGAGAGCATTATGCCTTCTGAGATGTTTTGAAACTAGCCTGCAAGGTTTGTCTCATGCTTGAAGGAGGGGAAATATATTGTTGTCATCCTCACAGTAACTTTGTGGCTAAATTATTTGTAGGCTAAACCTTCTTTCAAATGCCAACATTTAGGACAGACAAAAATAAAGAAAGGGCTGCAATACAAATTTTTGCAGTTTAATAAATTCACTATGTTGTTCAATAGAGAACTATCTTCAAGAGAGAGAGAGAGAGAGAGAGAGAGAGAGAGAGAGAGAGAGAGAGAGAGAGAGAGAGAGAGAGAGAGAGAGATTGAGAATGGGAGAGAGAGAGAGAAGAGAATATGCTTTCTATCCTGGGACCTTTCAGCATGCTTGTTTCTGATGTCACCAATGTGATAAAAATGTCATAGGAAATCCTGCTACTTGTCTGTGATGACCTGTGCAGGTCTGTGTACACAGTTCTCCTAGGACCATCGAACTAAGCACTCATATTTCAGCATCTGTCATTAACCACCTTAGCATTTCTTCATGCCTTTTTGTTTCTTCTCAACCTACCTACCTGCTCATGTGTGAAAGAATACTTTTACCCCCTAACCACTAACAAGATTATAGATCATTTCATCTACTAACTTTCTCCCTTATCTCTCCTATGTTCTCTTTGTGCCCTAGGAGCAGGTAAATTCACTACCATGTAATTATAGTCCATCATTTTCAATATAAAATTTTCCGTTGAGACTTACTAAAGTGTATCAAGCATATCAAAGCAATAGACTAAATGAAGCAATTAATAAAGAGTATTTTACTGAGCTTTGAAAAAATTAAATTTCCCCCATACTAGTGAGTGAGAGGTATTTTTACTGATTGGCTAAATGCATAAGTTTTTCCTAAATCTGTTGAAGTTGGTTTGACATAGGATGGGCCAGGGAGGAAATCAATAGATTCACATTGCTAGACAATACATCATTATACATTTATGTAATTGGATATAAAGCTATTACTGGACCACTCCCTCTAACACAAACACTACTAGAGCAAAAAATTTTTGATTGGCAGACATCAGAGGAACCTTGTGTTCATTCTCTTTTCGGTGCTGGTTTGACACAGCCACACCACATGACCGTACCAGATCTGAGTGAGTGACTTAGCTCTTCCCAGAAATGACCAGCAGGACGTGGGCCAGATTGGTGGGAATTTTATTTCTAGATATGTTTAACAAGAGAAACAAGGAGTCTATACAGTTTTCAGTAAAACAGAAAATCAAAGTAAGAGAAGCAGATGATGATATCAATAAGGAAAAACAAATCTGGGAAAGGAATTTGGTATTATTCTCTCAATTATCTGTGTTTTTAAAATTGTAGGTCCTTTTCATCTTTTAGATGATGTGTGTTTAGAGACAGTCCAAAAAACTTAGGCCTTTTACAAGTAATGTTAATAAATTTGAAACTAAGCAATGGTCTTTGTAAAAATTCTATTGATAGTACAAAGAAAGAGGGTGAATAAGTCCTTGGATTTATATAGAATGAAGTTGTAGGACACTGAAAAAAAAAGTACATTTGGATTTATAAGCTAATGAAACACCAAAGCCACTGAATTTCTTCTGCACTAAATTAGAGTGATGTTCTTAAATATAAAAACCAACAACAAAATTTCCAGATACTGTGAAAATAATAGTAAACTGAAGTGTAGGGTCTGAGGTTCCAGTGTGACATCTTAAAGTTTGTAACAGGATGGAAGGGGTCTAGGACGGGAAGAATATAAATGTTAGTATTTCAAGCACATTTTGGGCATCAGAAAGATTCTAGGTTCTTTCCTGGGCCTATAAAAACAGCTTGTTCTATAATAAATGGTTTTCCACATCCTTTCTGGGGAACCCATTAATTCCTTCTGTGAAGACTCCTCTTCTCTATGTAGCTATAGAGGCACAGAACATTTCATGATTGTTTTGGAATGTACAGAGTGAAAAGCAAGATTGTAAAATGAACTGCTTTCCTCCCCTTCCTACCTAATTTCTTTCTCCCTGTGCTCTACAAACTAGGGTATCTCCTTCTGACCTCAGAGCTTGTATTGAACTCAGGAAGTATACTTTGAGAATGTCCTGCATGTTCTAATTTGTATGATGGAAGGAGGAAAGAGCTCTTCTGAGCACCGATTTGACATCATTTTATTCCTACAATCTTTGGAAGTCAACACCCCTTCCCTTTTTGACTGTCTAAAATGCCCCTGCTAGCCAGATCCCTTTGCTAGCTACAGTGTTTGCACATTTCCTCGTTGATCAGCTGCGTCGGCTCAGAGACTGTGTGTTTTGGTGTTGTTTGTGTGCAATCTCGTGCTGCTTCCTGAACGCATGTGTCCCTTCCTTCACAGCCTACTCGACACCCAGCACCTCCCCCGCAAACCGATTCGTCAGTGTTGGACCACGGGATCCAAGCTTTGTAAATATCCCTCAACAGACACAGGTGGGCCGCTCTCATCTTTTCTGTATGTGGTGCAGCTTGTTTTATTCATCAGGTGCATTGTGACTTGTCTCTCCGCACAACAGGCTGCATTTCCCAACCCCTGTTTGGTCCCCTTTCCTCCTAACCTCCTCTCTGGTTCTGGTCCTTCAGCCACATTTCTATGTGTTCTCAGAAATCATGCCTGCAATTTTTGCTTCTTACATTAAAGGAGCACAAGAGGAGGGCTTCTGGACCAGAACCGCTTTTACTATGATAAGAGAGATTCCCCAGTGCTAGCTAGTGTGTCTCCTCTGCTAGGAGTCTGTCTCTATATGCAAGGAGACAGTAGTTCCCTACCGAACTGGAATATAAGCTCTGGCTGCCAGCGACAATAGAAAGCATGCTGGGAATGGGGGAACCAGCCACTCTTCTGTATTCATTACAGGGTCCCCAGGAACCTGGCAAACTTTCTAAAATAAAGGGTTTGTGAGCCCTATTAAGTTGCTGGTGTTGGTGCAGAAAATAACCGGAGATATTTGCTCCTGGCAACACTGATATTGGGAGCAAGGTGCAGAAGGGTGGGAGGGGTTGGGGTGGGTATGATGTCTTATATTGAGGTAGGTGATTGAGAAAAGAATATGCCAGGACATCTAGAGCTTGTTTTTTACTAAAAGGTTGTATTTTCTGCTAGTTCAGGTCAAGGAGAAGAAATCTCTTAAAGTTTTGAAATGGCTGCTGCTAATTGAGAAACCATGAAAGACTTTTGTAGAACAAGGTAGTGACTATAAAGATAGATATTTAGAGGTTTGTGAAATAGAATGAGAGTCAAGTTTTTGAAAGAAACCCCTCTCTTATTTCCTAATTGGAATGTGACTATATATTATCATAATTGACATAAAAAAATATTTTCTCTATGAGGTTCTCAGCATGGTGGTTGAAAAAAAATTTCTCCAGGATATTTTGTGCACATATATGCCTGGGTGTGTAATCTCCAGATGCCAGATTTATAACTGCTCATCTTTGTTTATCAGACTCTGACCAGGTGCTTTTGAATGGGCTACATTTGCTTTTCTGGGTTCATGTGCTTTCTCCATAAAGGGTTTTACTTTATTGCTGTGTCGACAGCATGGGTTAAACTGCATTGCATCTGAAGCCTTCCCTACACTGAAGCAGGGTCACAGAAAGTACAGCCTCAGAGGAGGCAGCTGGGAGGAGGGGGAAGCGAGAAGGAGAGAAGGTTAACTCTTGAATTTCCCACTTCTGCTGTTTCTCCTGAAACAGGCCGGTACATGGCATCTGGGATTAACATTGCCTATTCAGTCCCTCCCATAAAAATGTTCAAGTTTATTGCTTACTTTCCCATACCTTCAAATATTTAACTGGTGAATTTGAATAATTACCTCGAATGCATTAAAATAGAACGTTTCATTTTGTACTTTGGGTTCACATGTTCAAGTTCAATGGGAGGGGAGAACTGGGGACAGTGGCTGTAATAATGGATGATTTCTTTTCTCAAAGCCCCAGTGTGCTCAGGTTACTTCATCAAAACCTCAAAAATGCAGTGTGGAAATGTCCTATGTGTATTTTACGTAGTGTTTTTTTAAAAGAATCAGTGATTCACAGCACTGAAATAATACTGTGTTCCATACCCTGTGTTTGTCTATTATCAAAATGTGTTACATTGCAACATGGCTTTGTTTCACAAATGCCTTATTTAACCTATAAACTGGGTCTCCATGTTGTTGACCACAAAAATTCAATTCTTAAAAATCCAGATTTTTCATGCATCTGGATGAATGATGTCATGTAGACCCAATATTGGCATCTGGAACTGAATTTCTTGGTTTCTGTTAAATATTTGGCATCACAGGGACAGCGGCTTAAATGTGCTCGCTCTCTCTCTTTTTTTAATCAGAATGACACCTGCCACATTTGGCTTGAAGAAAGCCATCCCCAATTATCTTATGAGAAACTGTGCTGATGGAGTTGTATTTTTTCTATAAATATATATGGAGAGATATATAGAGATATAGATATATATGTGTCCTAAAGTAAAAATTATGTGCTTTAAATATTTTAATTTTTTGGACTATATATTAACTCTTCTTTAAAAAAAAAAAGAACCATTTAAAGTGTTAGACATGTATAGATATAGATAGTAAAAATAATGACATACTTTTTTTAAAAAGCTTCTTTTTGTAAAGACATTCATTCAAAAAAGGGATTTTTTAAAATATTCATTTTTAATTGATTTTAGAGAGGAAGAAGGAGGGAGAGAGAGATACATTAATGATGAGAGAGAATCTTTGATTGGCTGCCTCCTGCATGCCCCCTACTGGGCATCAAGCCCAAAACCCAGGCATGTGCCAAGGAATCGAACCTTGACCTCTGGTTCATAGGTTGACACGCAACCACTGAGCCACACCATCCAGGAAGATTTTTTGTTTTGTGTGGTTTTTTTTTTTACAAGAAATTTTTAAGATGTAATTTGAACATGGCCTGCAGATTATTAATTTTCTAAGCAAGCTTGTATTTTTTTTCTGTATTTACCCTTTTGTTAATAAGGCATGAAATTTGTATTAATTGAATTACAGGAAAAGTTTTCTGGGAAAGCAAAATTTTGCTTTCTGTCTTTGGAGAAGTAAAAAGTGAAAAGTCACCAAGCAGATACTTGAGTTTTACAAATGCAGAAAGACATCCTGCACATACATCCATAAACAAATGTAAAATAAAATGGCCTTTCTTTCTTCCAAAGACCAGTTTGCAGTAGAAACCTTCTCAAAATCTGAAGCATCAACCTATAAAAGGTGGATTAGATATGGTCTCTGCTTTTTCTTTAGTGGATAGAATTCATATGAATAGATATTTTAATTACACAGTTATCATTTTATTATAAGACCTTTATTTACAAAAAAATTTTTATTATAGCCTAAATTTACTCATTTATGTTAGGTAAATTATCTAATTAACCTTTACAAAGGCCACCCAACATGATAGATATAATTATTTCTACTTTATAGAGGTGGAAATTGAGTTCTAAAGAGATTGTTGGTTTCCCAAGGCCTATGCGCTCTAACCATTATACTGCACTGCCTCATGAGCTGGTGAGCACCTTGCCCTGATATTCAAAGACACATGCTCAACTCTCAGGAATACTTCTGGCACGTTCCCTGGTTTTAAATCTGAGATTGTATTAAAATTTAATCATTAGTATAAGCTCAAAGTAACTGAAAGCATGATCTCAAAAAGATATTTGTACAGCAGGTTCCTAGCACCATTATTTAACTATAGCTAAAAGGTGAAACAACCCAAGTGTCCGTTGACAGATAAATGGGTAAAATCTGGCATATACATTTTATTGTGTAGCTATCATTTTAAAATGGCATAATGCATATTATTCAGCCTTTAAAAGGAATAAAATTCTGCAGTATGCTACAACATGGGTGAACCTTGAAGGCATTATGCCTGAAACAAACCAGTTACAAGAGGACAAATACTATATGAGGTACCAAAGTCGTCAAATTCAAAGGCACAGAAAGTGAAATAGTGGCTGCCAGAGCCGGGGGAGGGCCGAATGAAGAGTTATTGTTTAATGGTACAAAGTTTCAGATTTGCAAGGTGAAACAATTCCAGAGATAGGTGGTGGTGATGGTTGCATGACATTGTGAATGTACTGAATGCCATGGAACTGTACACTTGAAAATGGTTAAGATAGTAAATTTTTTAAAATGTAATCATTAAATTCCAACAGCCCTTTCACCTCTTAAGAGTCTAAAATTCTGTAAAACAGCCTAGAAAAGTGGACTGTTTACCAACAGGATCCACTGTAATAGCGTGCTGACCTATCCGGGAGCAGTAATTCTCATGCCCGGCACATAGTGGGTAGTCAGCATTTATTGGCTGAATCTAAATGGTTCATAAGAAAGCTTTAAAATAATGACTTTTCCTTATTACAGTCATGATACATGTTAATTGTGAGGAAATACAGATGGGAAAAATAATAAAAATCACTTGTAGTCCTACTGTTAACATTGCTGTATAAATTCATCCGGACTGTTTCTATGCAACAAATACATTGCAAAAATGAGATCATATTACATATACTGTTGGGTAACCTGCTGTTTCTTCCCCTTAACAATATATTATGGCCTTCTTTCCATGTAAATTGGAAAAAATTGAATATTGGCTTTTATTGCACCTATTCATCATCTGTAATGATTGGTAGGGAAAGATAACATGGATAATTGAAAGCCATTTTTCCTCCTCCTTCCCTTCCAGTCTATTTTTTTTCTCCAGAGAATTCCTTCCTTCACGGAGACAGAATTGCCTTCTCTTTAGCCTTGCCTTGAGGTAGTTTTCTTTCAAAATGCCTTCCAATTGCATTGTATATCTCACCCCAGCATTCGGCTCTGTTTGAATATTCCTGCCAAGTTATCTATCCTACGCTTCCGCCTCACTCGTCTGCTACCTCGGCTACTATCATTATTTGCCTCTCATTTCCCTCCTCCCCCTCCATTTGGTAACTCATTATTAACAAGGGGGGGCCATCTCCCCACAGCCTCGAGAACACCCATTAAGTCTGAGAAGCCATGACCACTGATCCCACCCCAAATCTCATTTCCCAGTATTGTCCCATGACAGTTGATATTAACAGAGAGAAAGTCTCTGGGGCATCGAGCATTTACTTCACTTTGGACACTATCCGTGTCCTCTGAATGCCCACTGAAGGATATAATAGAGAACATGCCATCATTTCAGACAGCAGAAAGCCAATGACCATTTCAATTGCATCTCAGAATTTAATCTGATCCCTGAAAACAAGAGCCATTAAGAGGAGGCATTTATTTAGAGGAAAAAATGTTAATATTTCATCATCAGGTAATAAATAGGAATACCAATTCCCACACAGAAGGACTGAGCAAAGAACTCATTTTGATTCAGGTTCTAGTTTAATCAAATGCTCAAATAAAATGCTTAACCTGCAGAACTTCAACGAAGACTAATTCTTTAAAATGAAAAAT